AGTGCCAATACCCTGGTTATGGTATTGTGCTGTAGTTGTTGCAAATGTTACCACTTAGTGAATGCCACATGCAAAAGGATCCAGCAGTTTGTTTCTTACAACTCCATGTGAACCTACAATAACCTCAAAATAAAAGTGATTCCTGAAAGAATGCTCATTGTTCACCTTTTGGGATCTAGAAGCTATCAGCTGGGCAAATCTGCAAATGCTGACTTTTTGGCTGCCACCAGTTCCTTATACATCTTGCTTGCAAAATGACCAGTTGTCTCAGGTTGATGTCTTTAGCAGCACCCTGGCTACTAGCCATTCTTCTTCTTCTACTTCTTCTTCTCCTTCGCCTTCTCCTTCTCCTTCTCCTTCTCCTTCTCCTTCTCCTTCTCCTTCTCCTTCTCCTTCTTCTTCTTCTTCTTCTTCTCCTTCTTCTTCTTCTTCTTTTTCTGTTGATCCCGGTGTCAAACTCAGGACCTATGTGCTTGTCAGGCAGGTGCCTACACTGCTGAGCTAAATCCCCGGCTCAAAGAGCTATTATTTCTAAGGCCAACACACCTTGCTTTTCCATTCTGCTAACACGGAACTGATCACCCAGTGTCACATGTATCAGAGCCGCCCAAGTTAGCACAACAGATAGTTTGCCCTGTGTTGTGTGAATCTGTGTGTTTGCCAGTTTGGCAGGTGAAAAGTGTTAATGTATAGTTTACATTTCTCTTAGAGTAATGCAGGTTAAATGTCTTTTAATATCTTAAGTTTGTACTTTTTCTGTGAACTTTGCTTATGTGCTTTGCTTGTGTAATAATGGTATCCGACTAATTTTAGAATACATGCTGCTTAGAGAAGTTTTGAACACTTACAAAGCTTGTGCTCTTCTCTACAGACATACATACTGAATCAGAGTAGTCCTTGTGATCTGTGAACTTTTGAGTTCTCTCCAAATTGAAGCAGAGGCAGCAGTTATCAGGAACAACGAGTTCAGAGAAATACATACTAAATCAGACAGCCAGTATTTGGGCTCAGTAATATGTTTCTAAGATGCTCGCAAGATTTGGAAACCGCCGAGCAAATCGGCTGAAATCAAGCAATGCCAATCAGCGAGAGAATACGATGAGGCCCCTGCTAAACCAAAGTGGCCATTCTTTTTCTGACCTCGCAGGCATCCAGAGGCTTATCAAAGACTGTGCATTTCAGGAAATCACAGAAGCTTGTTTTAGTCATTTGGCTCCAGACTAAAATTTGAACTATACTGAAATCAGATATTTGGGTGTCTGGGACTAGCTACTTAGTCCTAGCCAACTGGTAAGCTCAACCAAGCACAGTGGAGCCAGGATGGGAACTCCTCTGGTGCAAAACACAATAGGAAGCACAAGATCCAGTTCCCAGGCTGGAGAGGGCGGGGCCCTTCAGACCCACCCTGAGTGGGCGGTGACCACAGGCGGCTCCCTGCCTCTGTGACGTCACGGAAGCCCCGCCCACAGCTGTCAGCCACTGTCCATACCAAGTTGTGTGCTGGCCAGGAAGTTGCTCCTTTCTGGGGTCATGATGGGCAGCAAGATGGCGTCTGCCACCGGGTTGCCCAGGTAAAGGGCTTCCATTGATTTTCCGCACGCGGGGCGGTGGGGATGGTGCAGCCATAGCAAAGATTTAGGGCGGAGAGGCCTTGTCACAGGATGCACAGTGACACTGCCCACGCTGCTGCATAGGCCTGTATGAAGATGGGACATGAAGCCCGTGGCATTGGGCAGTAGGGCAGCACCTCGCGCTTTGCAGGGGCGAGGCATATCCACAGGTGGCTAGCTCCCTGCTGACCTGACCTGATAGTCTCCCTGATAGCCTTTACCTCAATCAGATAAATAGTCTTCTGTGACAGACCAACAGCCCACATCATACTAATTGGAAAAAAACTGAAAGCCTTCAACCTAAAATTAGGGACGAGGTGAAGATATCCACTATCACTACTCCTGTTCCATATAGTTCTGGAAACAGCCAGAGCAATTATACAAGAGAAAGAAATAAAAGGAAGAAGACTAAGGAAGGAAGAAGTGAAATTATTATTTGGAGACCACAAGATATTCTACTTAGAAGACCCCCAAAATTCCACAAAATTTTTCCGGATTTAGCAAACAAATTCTGAGGTGTAGCTGGATACAAAGTCAACGATCAAAAATCAGTAGACTTCTTGCACACGAATAACAAACTCAATGAGAGAGAAACCAGGGAAACAACACTTTTCACAATAGTATGCAAAACCTGAGATTTTTAGGAATCCTTCTAACAAAGGTAGTGAAAGATCTATACATTACAAGTTACAGGATTTTGAAAAAGGAGTTCAAAGATGATACTGCAAAATGGAATGATACCCTTGCTTATGCATAGGAAGGACCAACACTGTGTAAGTGTCCATATTCCCAAAACTGTTGTATAGGTTTAATATAATCCCGATCAAAATTCCATTAGTGTACCTCAGAGGTCTAGAGAAAACATTCTTAAAATTCATCTGGAACCAGAAGAGACCCAGAATCCTGGGCAACAAAGGCAAAGCAAGAGACCTTACAATCCCTGACTTGAAATTATACTACAAAGCTACAGTGATGAAATTAGCATGGTACTGGCAAACAGACTTGAGGATCATTGGAACAGAAAAGACGCAGACACAACCTACACTCAGCCACACTCTCACTGAGAAAGGTGCCAAAGATGTTCAGTGAAAGAAATCCTCTTTAATAAATGGTGCTGAAAAACTTTTTTCCATATGCTGAATACAAAAACTAAAACCAAACCACTGGCTATCACCATGCACTAAAGTACAAATAAGATTTTTTTTTTTTTTTTTTTTTTTGGTGCCAGGGATCCAACTCATGGCCTTGCACTTCGCAGGCAGGTGCTTGTGCCTCTGAGCTAAATCCCTAGCAGAAATGGGTCAAAGATCTCAATATTAAAAGAGAAATATGAAATGTACTAGAAGAGAAATAAGGTGGAAATCTTGAAGACATGGCAGTAGACAAAGATTTCATGAACAAAAACAAACTACATAGGAAGTACATCAAGAATCAATAACTGGGGGCTGGGGATTTAGCTCAGCGGCATAAGCACCTGCCTTGCAAGCAGGTAGTCGTGAGTTCGATCCCTGGTACCGATAAAAAGGAAAAAGACAAAAAAAAAAAAAGAATCAATAACTGGGGTTTCATCTTATTACGAAGTTTTTTTATTCACAGCAAAATAAGTCACCCACAGAGTGAAAAGAAAACTCACATATTGGGAAAAACTAGCCAACTGTTCCTCAGACAAAGGACTTGTATCTGGAACATATAAAGAACTGAAAAACATCAGGTCCTGGGATTCTGCCTTTCCCCAGAAACAATGGCTATCATCAAAAATCATTGAATAATCAATTCTGGCAGGGTTGTGGGGCAGAACATCCTTTCCCAACCTTCGTAGGCATGTAGACAGGTACAAGCACTGTGGAAATCAGTGTGGAGGCTCCTCCAAAAACTAGGACTAGAGGTCCCATTCAACCAAGTTATTGCCCTTCAGGGTGTTTTCCCAGAAGAATTAAAAACATCATACCACAATGATATATGTCCATCCATGTTTATAGCAGCACAATTTGTAATAGATCTTTGAAACTACTCAAATGCCCATCAACTGCAAAAAGCATAAAAATGATGTATTTTCTGTTTCTTTTTCATAGTGAGGATCGAGCTCGTGACCTCACATTTGCCAAGCAGAAACTGTGCTGCTGGCTAAGTACCTGGCCCTAGGATATGGTATTTTAATACAAGATAGTATTCCTTACATATAAAGATGGATCAATTCAAGGCTTTTATAGGTAAATGATGCAACTAGAGTTTATACTTACAAGTGAAATAAAACAGACCAATATGGGTAAACAGCATGTTGTCTCCCTAGTGTAAGAAACTGAAAGAGTAAATACGATTCAAAAGGTATAACGCATATTCTGAAAGAGAATGAAACTGCTGAAGAGGAAAGAAATGGGACAGGGAAAAGGAGAAAAGAAGCAAGGAAAGTTACATCTATACATATGTGTGTACACACACAGATACCTAAGACAGTTCTACTACTAATGCTCATAGGTCATCGAAAGGAACATTAACTGCTTCTATTTGAGTAGTTCTGCATCTGGTAATCACAGCAACTGTTTTAAAGACCACAAAATGCAATATAATAAGCATTGTTAATTTCCTATCTTGTTTTGAAGTTCTGTATTTTTTATGGGTTTTTAAAATTGAAAATGGTTGAAAGTGTTTGTCAGTATTTTCATTAAAATTCAGGTTAGCTGTCCCATTTATAATAAAGCAGGCAGGAGCTTGTTTTTATGTATATCTCCTACCGGTTCTTCTGGTAACTTAGAGCAAGTTCTGTTTTATATGATGCCACCTGCAGCACTTGTAGACAGCTGTCAGGATCACACATAAATGTCATGATCATTTCACTGAGGGAATTAAAATATTATAAGTGGGATTAGTGGCATATGCCTTTTGTTTTGGAGTTAGAGGTGAAAATCAAAAAGTTTGAGGCCAGTCTCAGCAATGTAGCCAGAGCCTGTCTCAAAATGAACAAATTAAGCTGGAGCCAGCTGCGGTGACACACACCTGTAATCCCAGCCCTCGGGAAAGCTGAGGCAGAAGGATCCCTACTTCAAACCCACCCTAGGCAATTTGGGAAGACCCTGTCTCCAAATACAACAGTGCTGAGAAAGTAGCCTCCTTTGAAGGCCCAAGGTGAAGTCCCCAGCACTGCAGAAAAATGAAACGGAATGATAGTGTAGGCATGAAGAAGGGAAGTGCAAAGGCACTCCTGGATTTGATCTGCACTGCCAAAAAGTCTGGGGAGTCATTTTCAGATCAAAATAGAATGTACAACCTAGCTGCTATTAACTCAAATTTTTCTGCTGTCTGAAATAATTAGGAAATATTCTGCTGCTTGCTTTTTCAAGATCTTTGTTTATAGAATTCTCATGTATAATATGTTTTATTTTAACCTAACAGAATTAAAACATGCTTCAGAAAGTAAGCTTATAATACTACAAACCGAGAATAAAAAACCTGAGGAAGGAGCTGGACAGTATGGAAAATTCAGACAAGATAAACACCATGCAACAAAGCCTACAGAAAGAGATGAAGCTTGCTACAGTTACTCAACATGTGTTCTAGGTAAAATTTGTATAAATCAGGAAAGGAGGGATAAAGACCTTTTAAAAACACCACTGATATGAAGACCTTACCACGGTTTATGTTAGGCTGTGGTCATAAGCTAATTCAGTACAAGGTCTGAGTACGTAGCCGCACTGGAGAGCACTTGCCTAGCATTGGTGAAGCCCCGAATTCAGTCCCAGCATTGCAAAAATCATAATTGTCTACTGATATTTACTGTGCTTACATATGTAATATTCATGTACAGTCAGCATTTAGGGGCCCATTTTTCATTGTGGTTAATCATTAGGATTTAGAACTGGCATGTTTTCTACAGCTCTGGAGGCAGGTTGGAGTACAGCTTTAGCCTCCAAGTTTGAGGGCGGAGTGGACCTGCGTGAGAGTGGCAGCTAAGAAGGTGACTGCTGCCACTGGGAATTTAGCTCAAGTGGGTGCTCAAGGACATGGGGTTGACCCCAACCCCATCACAAAGAGAGAAATATCAGCATGATGACTGGTCCAAGTAAACTCTAGTAAATGTTGCCATAAGATTTTTCCCCTGAGACATTAATGGAAAGAAAGAAAGAAAGACAGACAGATTGAAAGAAAGAAAGAAAGAGAGAGAGAAGGCTGACTGAGCTGACTATGGAGGCCCATGTTTGTCCACACAAAGGGCTGGGGATGCAGCTCAGTGTGATGGCCATGGGTTCCACCCCTGGGCCTAGGGATGAAAGAAGCAAAAACTGTCTGTGGAAATTGATGAGATATTTGCAAACATCATAAACATACCTTTACCCTGCTGAAGCCTCTTGTAAGTAGAAATGAAGACAAAAGTGTATCACACACTGGGAATACAGGCAAGTGTCACAGCACCTGCCTGGCTAGCATGAGGTCCTGAGTTGAATTCTTGGGACAGAAAAAATAATTGTGTATCACTCTTTTCTGTGAATACAGAGCTACTGTACTTTTCTAGTAAATGTTTAAAACATTAGATAAGGTTAGTGAAGGGATTATTTAACAAAAATCTTGTTAAAATTTTAAAGTGCTTACATTTCAAAGTTGTTATATTTTGACTTGTTTTTTGTTTTTATTTTAAACTACAGAGCATCATTTTGGGGTGTAAAGTCAACTGGGCAGCAGATCCAGCACTCAGGGAAACTGTTCTGCAGCTTGAAAAGGCTCTCACCACAGTCTAACAAGAATTCCACTGGGCCAGGTGTCGCCATGTGTGCCTTTGATCTCAGCACTCAGGAGGCTGAAACAAGAGGATTGCCACATGCTGAAGACCAGCAAAGATTTGCACCTTGAAGTTTTTGGATTTTTGTCTCTGATATGTCATTTAAATAGCAAGTTTCAAGTGAAATGAATTTGCGATGTTTGGGGAACTCTCCTAATCTGTAATTGCTTTTTAGCTTCAGTTAACACTCTAACATAGAATCAGTGATTTTAAATAACACTAAAGTGACTGTGTACTCTTAAAAGGGGAATGTCTTAGTCATAGAAAAGACACCTGGTCTGATATCTGAGGAGCAGTTTTGGACATTCACAAGGTCCCAGCATTTAACTGTAATACTTGTGTGCATTTCTGCATTTGTCAGTCAGGATGCAGAGAAGTCTCCAGAGTGTCAGCAGCTGGTGTAATTCGTAGTGGGGTTCTGAGTAACTGTCTTCTGTTCTCCCTGTGTCTGTTTCTCCTCTCACACATACTTCTGCTCACACACATACATAATGCTGGCTACACCCTGACAATGCTGATGTACAGTGACATCCATGCCCATTCTCAGTTCTGTTTGGACAAAAACTCTTGCCAACTTACCAAGGCTGGCTTCAGACTTGCAACCCTCCTGAACAACTGAGATTACAAGCATGTACTGCCATGTCCAGTACAGCTCTTTATTAATTAGGAGCCATTGATCATATTTATGGACAGCGTTGTGTTTTCAGTATTCTTATTGGAATAAAGTGAAACTTGAAAAGATGCGCTCATTGGATAATAGCTCGTGAAATCTGTTCTTTAGATTAATAACAAAGAGAGATTTCCCTAAGCTCAAATAGTAGGCTTTTCTTTGAAATATTTATACCTTGTTTTCTTTGATCAGTCATAATGTATGTATAGATTTATTCTTTTTGTCAGTTATTGTTTTGAGGTAGAGTCTCACTGTGTCCTTCAGGGCATTCTTGAACTCACTAGTAGCCCAGGCTGTCCTAGAACTTCCTGCAGTCCTCCTGCCTCAGCCTCCTGAGTAGTAAGGTTACAGGCATGCACCACCACACCTGATCTGTTGTTATCTATATCAATTGTTATAAAGTAATTTCCTTTTTTTGTGCAAATTATTATTTTGGAAAATGCTTTTCCATTCCAGTAATCCACACAGGAACTTTTGTTTGTTGTAGTACTGGGCATTGAACCCAGGGCTATTGTGCTAAGCTCTCTTGAGCCCTATATTTGTTTTTTTAATTTGTTATTTTGAGATAGGATCTCATCAAGGTGCTGAGTTGCCCAGGCTGGGCTGAAACTTGATCCTCCTGCCTCAGCCCCCTAGAAAACTGGCATTCTAGCAGTGTACTACCACAGTCACTTGACACTGTATTAGTAAATTTCAACCTGTGGACCACCTGAAAAAGTGTATCTTCATATACTAAAACAGGTATATGTTTATCTGCGACCTTAGTGGTCTTTGACTTACCTGTTACCCAGCTCTGAGAGAGGAAGTGCGTAGGCTTTGCCTGAACTGTTGCTGAATACGGAACTCACAGCTCACTGTTTTAGGACATTTACTTCTGTGTGGGTTTGGGGTTCAGCCGCCCACTCTAGGACTCCATTTGAGGGAGCAGCCACTCAGCAGAAGGCAGGGGCTCCTTAGATCAAGTCAAGTGCATTCCACAATCAGAATGTAATCTTCTGCTTGGGAAAGGCAGCCATGGCCCCAACCCCACATCACAGTGGCCTTGGGTTTTGTCCCAGCTAACGAATGCTGCATTTCAGAGTCAGGAAAAGGAAATGGGAATTTACTACAAAGGACATGATCTACCTTAGTCAGCTTTGCTCCATGAAATAGACACCCAAGACTAGGGAGGTGCAGGCAGTCCTAGTGACTTGGGAGGCTGGGGCAGAACTGCTTCAGCCATCAAGATCAATCCAGCCTGGGATACACTTGAGACCTAATGTCTGGCTTATATCCACATCCACAAAGACACTCCTCTCCAGGAAGTAAGCCAACAGCGCAGCCTCTCCTGGTGGTATTTCAAGCTTTAAGAGCTCTCTCTCTCTCTCTTGCTCTCATTCTTGCTCTTTGTCTCTCTCTCTCTATCTCTCTCTCCCTCCCTAATCCTGTTGCAGGGGGTCTCCTTATGTAACTGGCCTAGAACTCACCGGGATCCTCATGCCTCCGCCTCCCAAGTGCTGGAGTTACAGGTGTGCTTCACCACACTCAGATTGTCTTGTTCTTCAGTTGTTTTCTCATCAGTATCAGGGACTGATAACCTGGCTCACAGGCTGTTTTAATATATGAAGTTTTACCACCACGAGGCCGTGCCACTATGTTCACATGTTAACTGTGCTTGCTTTCTTGCCATGATAAAATAGTGTAATCGAATGAAGTAGCTTAATAGTGACCCTGAGGCGGCTGCACTGCGCTTTTCCATAGGATGAGGTGTTGTGAAAGACAGGTTACCGAGCCCCGTGGTAGTTGGCTTCTGTTTGAGGGATGGCAAAGAAATACCAGCATGGCCCTCTCTCAAGGGCTCAGGGGCTTTGCATGGGATTTGAAGAGGAGATTGTTGCTACCTTGAGTCAGGGTGGCTTTGTGAACTGTGACTGTCATGCTGTTGGGCCCACGTGTGTTTATCTGCTCCTCTTACTGTCATAGGACCCGTGGACCTTGGTGGTACCATGGGGTGGCAGTTCTGCCTCCCTCATTTTTGCCTTGACAAGGGCCCAGGCATCCTGGGGCTGGACCTAGTAATCCTCAGGTTTTCCCTCACAATGGATTAAAAAATCTAGTTGTGCTGTAGAATGTTTATTCTGAATTACCCAAATTCTTAATTGTTTATGCGATTCATTTTACTACTGAGTTACTGCACCCTACATGTTAGATCCAAGTATTTTATTAAAATATTTTTTATCAGGAAACCTCAGCCTGGACTAGATACCTCCTGTTCCATCACCCACTGTGCTCTGGCCTGGCTTCCAGCCAGCACTGGGGATGGGGTCACTGGCCAAGCAGAGGAAGGGTGAGGCCAAGGAAGGTCGTGGCACACCGGGCACACAGGCCGAGTGTGGGTGGAGGAATGGAACAGGCGGGTGCGTGCACTAGGCTCTAGTCGGTCCTGGTGTGTGCTCTGCCACCCAGGGAGCAGTGGGTATGGATGGCGCATCCCATGCCTTGTAAGCAGACACAGTGAAGATGAGGACGGACAGACTGAGCACTGATGGTGAATCATTGAGTGACCTGATAGCAGTCTCTGGGCAGACTCTACCTGTGGGAAGTGAAGATAGAATTTCTGCTTTTGCTTCAGAAGCATTTACCATCCTCATGCTGTGGAAAAGTGATCTGCAAGGAGCCTGCATTGGGAATTCCATGAAGCAGAGTCAGTGCCAGTGCTCTCTTGGCAGGATCCCTGAAACGGTCCATTCGGATGTGATCGGGAATTTGTGTTGCACTGAACACTTTCTTATGCCTCCTGTGTGACTGCGTTTTGCTTAGTTTATATTTTTATTGGTGTGTGATCATGGTACGTAATGATTATATTCATCGGAGATAGTTGGTGGATATGCATGATAGACTTTTCCTCGATGTGGTAGAAAAACAAGAGTAAAGAAAGCAAAGAACAAAAAGGCCTTTATTGCTGGCATGGGAGGGCTGCAGTGGGGTGCAAGATCCCTTCAGGGCAGGCAAAGAAACCTGGAGCCTTTTGTTCAGTTTGAGAGGGGTGGAGTTCGATGGGGTGGGCAGAGTGACATTTTGACAGTTGTTTGAGGGATTGTTGATGTGTGCACAAGTGGGAAGTTCACTTTTTGGGTTTGCAAGAAGAACGTGGAAGTCAGTTTTGAAGTGAGGTACGGTCCAGTGCCATGTTGGGCAGGCACCATGCTGAGCCTGGCACTGCTCCACAGGAGCGGAATCCATTATTCCCATCTTTTGGGTGTTAGAGGCAGCCACTCTTAAACTGCTTCCTGCTGACTGGGGTGACATGATGGGCATTGAAGTAGTCATTGTGATGACAGTTTGGACCCGTGTAGAATCTGGTACCAGGGGTTTCCTCAGGACAAGGAATCACCTTGTTATAAAGGCCCACAACCTGGATTGAAGAAATCTTGAGAAAAGTTTAAACAGACAAGGAGCTATAATCAAAAAATAACAAGTAATATAAGTGGTCCTTCCAGGGGAAGAAGCTAGGAGGAAAGTGTTCCCTTTTCTATAAGAACAGCAGTCAGATTTTTTTGCAGATATTATCGTAATATATTTTTAATCGCCCATAACAGTTGTTAAATACTGGGATAATTGGAAACTGCCTGAAGAGGTTATACTTGGAGCCCTTTTTATATTTAACTTATACACATTTTTATATCCTTTGATTATATTTTATACTGGATGTTTAAGACCAAGTTAAATTGAGACCTGTGTTAATTAAAAGTAACCTCTTGCTATCTGTCAAGGTCAGGTAAGTCTCCTCAGGATTTGTCTTGGAACCATGTGTGGAGCCTCTCAGTTCTTGACAGTGTCAGCCATCAGGATGGTCAAGCAATGAGCCATTGCTTGACCAATTTTGTTTCTGTGAAAACTTGGGGGAATTTTCTCCTGGTGACTCTCCTTAGGCACACTATATATTGTGTCACACTTGTTTGTAGTCCCATAATCTCCTTGATCACAAGACCCATGGAGATAAGGAATGTCATTGCAGAGGTTCTCATATCCTGGATCTTCAGTGACCTCAGAGGGCCGCAAACAAAATAATGGTTGTCCTCCCAGCCCATTCATCTTTTTAATTTTTGGTCTCCAAATATCTATTGTTGAACATCCAGAAGTAAGGATTGGTAATATTATAGTGTAACAAGGCAGCATGTTTAGCATTATTACCTTACCTGAATATCAAGCAGCTTGAACATAAAATAGCAACCAATATTTCTATCAATCATCCATGTCCTAATACTTAAACCCATGGAAAATGTTAACAGTTACATACTTTTCACAGAAAATCTAAAATCAAAACTATACATAATATTGTGGCATGACAATTATGACACTTTGTGTCAATCTGAATTTGACCTAAGATACCCCTTTTAGTGGATCATCACTATCTAGTACATAAGCTTTACCTGACTGGTTTATCTTTAGTGGGATGAGCATGTAGTAAGTTTGTGTTACAGGCAGAGGTCTGAATCTGAAACAATTTTGTTAAACAATCTCTGTTTTACATTTTTGGAAGGAAGACCTGTACATGTGGAAGCATGAATACATTAATACACCATAAGGTTAATAACAAACTATCCTTTCATGTGAAACCGTTGTATCAGAGCATATTTAAATAAAAAAAATTATTGTATGATTTCTTTTGACAATGACTGATGTGAACATAATACAATAATGTGTTTTTGAATTTTAGTTGGGATGTCTCCCATAAGCCTATGGATGTCATTGGAGCCTCTGATCAATGAACAAGAACTGGTAAAATGTTACCAAGTAGCCACGTTCTGAATCATCAACTCCACAGAAGTCCTATCCGATAATGCACCTGACCCTACAGGATTTTAATTATCTTAATAATTCCTTAGCGACTTATGAAAAATCCATACACCACATTTAGCATACTGTTTTTAAACAATGAGAGACTGCTGCATCACCAAACATAAATGACAGTATTATCCAATTTACATAACCAATTATAGCATCATTTTGATGACCTGGCAACTCAGGTGGAAGCAGGGTTTTAGACATATAACCCATATTAAATTTTGAACCATTGATCCAAATATGGGAAAGGAAAAAATTGTTGAGTTCAAGTAAAAAACAATTGTTCAAGAATATGACAAATAGATATAGAAAATCTGTACAGGACATAGAAACATACACAATTTTTTTGTTTTGGTATTTGTTTTTTCGTATCTGGGGTGGAACTCATAACCTCATGTCCTTGTGCTTGGCAGGCAGGCACTTATGCTGCTGAGATAAATACATAGTCCAGAACATACACAGTTTAACAGACAAACACAATCAGCGTGCACTCAAATATATTTGGCCAATTTGATTTCTCATAACTTTTATAAGTTGTACAATGGTAAATGTAGACTAGGGAGAACCTTTTTGCAAGCCATTTAACAGAGACCTCTTGAAATAACAACCAAAAGGAACACGTTTTATACCTGTGAAAGAAAAGATAGTAGCAAAGCAAAGACAGCTATTAGGAAGTCATAGGAGTTTACCCTGAATTGAAGCGCTTTGACAGAATGACACGGGTTGGTAGCTAAGGACCTCAGTGCTGTGAGATACGGGAAAAGGCAGAGAGAGAAAAAAGGACGTAAACATGGACCAAGTCCCCAGTGCCTGTCACCTCACAGGCAGGAGGGAGAGGTTGGCTGAGTGACTCTTTGAAGCAGGCTGGGGTGGAGATAGCAGCAGCCATGCAGAGCTGGCAGGTGGTGGCAAGCAGGAGGGGACACAGAGGCTGGGAGGGGTCAGAAGGCAGTGGAGGCTGGAGGAGTGAGTTGGGGTGTGATGGGCAGGTGGGGAAATGGCCAGAGCAGGAGGAGACACAAGGCGATGGCGAGGGGCGGAGAAGATGGCAACAGAGAAAAGCAGGAAGTTTCTTGGGGATATGGCAGAGGTCGATGGTGTGGAGCAGACCAAAGAGCTGGGGCCACCCCATATGCTGAAGGAGGGAGGGACACGCCCTGAGAGCAAAACAGGCCCATACTTGGGGTTGCCACTTTGATTGCAAAAGTGATCCAGTTTGCAGAGTGGCCTAGTGTTTGTCGCCCCCTCTGGCCAGTGGTGGAACATTATCGATACTGTGGCCAGCTGTCTGGCAGGAAATGTGTGTTTTGGGGAGTGGGAAGAAGTATTTCCCATTGTGACCAAATGAGAGGAGAGCTGGATGGAGGCTCCAAAAACTGAGTCACAATCCCTTAGACTCATCACCCTTCTCAGTCTTGTGGGAGAGAGAAATACTCAGTAGACCCCAACACCTGCACCCGCGAGTTGTCACTTAGGGAAAAAGGGGTGCAGGTCCTGAAGAATGTGGGGGAAATCCTGACATGAACCCATGAGTTACAAGACAAGCACCCCAAAGTACGAAGTGCCTCCCTGTGAGAACGAGGTGGTTTCGTATTGGATGGAGGCTAGCAATGGCAGCTGCAGAGATGGGAGAAAGAGGAAAACCAGGGAAGAGAAAAAGCAGAGAAAGAGCTCATTGATGGGGAGCTCCAACGGGGACTTGTGCCCAGGAGCCACCCTGCCTGTCAGTCTGAGTTATGGCACCAAAAATGATAGATTTTTCCTCTCACGGCACAAAACAAGACCAAAGAAAGAAAAACAGGAAAAGGCCTTTACTGCAGGTACGGGAGGGCTGCAGGAGAGTGCAAGGTCCCCTCTGCTCAAACAGAGAAGCCTGGGGCTTTTCTTTAGTTTGACAGGTGGAGTTGAACGGGTGGGCAGAGAGACGTTGAGACAGTTGACTTGGGGATGTTGGCTTATGCAAAAGAAGCAGGGAGTTCAATATTCAGGTTTGCAAGAAGAATGTGGGAGTCAGTCTTGAAGGGAGGCACTATCCGGGGCCATATTGGCCAGGCTCATTGCAGAGCCTGGCAGAGCTTCACACAGGCAGAACCCATCATGTAGCACATCTTAGGGGTTTTTATGTTCTCCCCTTCCATCTCAGTCCCCTTGAGCTCAGGGAGCTCCGAGCTGCCTACATTCCCATAGCTTTGGATTGATTTTTAAATTCACTCATTGTTGCCAGCTGTGGTGGTGCACACCTGTAATCCCAGACTTGGGAGGCCTAGGCAGGAGGATCTCCATGAGTTCAAGGCCAGCCGTTGCTAGATAACCAAGTTCAAGGACAGCCTGCATTACATAGCAAGACATTGTCTCAAACAACAAACAAACAAAAAAATACCTGAAAGTAAAAAGAAAAATAACTTACTGCAGGGTTTGTTTACATTGTGGTTGGATTTGGGGGTTGCTTTATTCAAAGATGCTATACCATAGGTTGAGTCCAGGGGTAATGTGTGTGTCTCTGCTTGGAGAACAAGATTCAACTCTCTGCAGAGCCCCCAAAGAGTGGCTGTTAAATCACTGCTACACTGTTTTTGGATTCTGGGCTTTGCTGTTTTTTTTTTTTTTTAATTTTATTTAAGGAGAAAAAGGAAAATAAAAACAGAAAAAGGATACAAGTAATACAGAATTTCAAAAAAAAATAAACAGTAGGAAACCACTAGTTAATAGATTACATATGGTCATCTTAGAAATAGTTGTTCAAGTTACAAAATTAAAGCATGTAAAGTGGACATTCAAACTGTGAGACTGCAAACAGTTCTGTTCAGTGATCCAACAAATACTCACTAAAATGGTTATCTACCTTATATGCTTAAATATACTTACAGTTATATCCTTTAGAGCACTTTCTTTTCCTCTCTTATTTACAATGATAATTACAAAAACATTTTGGGCTTTGCTGTTGTTTTAATTGTTGCCGTTTTAATGCAAGGTCTCACTATGCGGTGCAGGCTGGCCTTGAACTCACTATGTAGGTAGGCCACACTGGTCTTGTATGTGAAGTGCTCCTCCTACCTCAGCCTGCTGAGTGCTGGGATCGTAGGTGTCCGTCACCACACCCATACAGTGGTTCTTACAAGTTCAGGGAAAGCATCCCACGCTGAGACAAACTGAAATACCTGAATTACTGTAGCAGATAGTGGAGGAAGCACTCAAGGGAAAGGGCATTTTGGAGTGGAGATTGCTTGAGGCCAGAAAACCCAACGACAAACTGGGAAAAAAGGAAGAGCCATTTCACCAAGAAATAAGCACTGAAGTAATGCAACACCATAAGACAAGCCCATGGAAAGCCCCTGGGGCCGGAAGCCACGGAGAGAGTGGCAGGGCACCACAAGGGACAGGGAAGGAGCAGTGCCCTGGGCTCCCAGGCCTGGAAGGTGGCCAGGCAGGGGCCACAGCTTTGTGTACCACTTCCAATGGGCCCGATAGCTCACAAAGTCTGCAACAGACTGCTCACCCCTGACTCAGCCTTTATTCCTGCCCTCAGGACCACAAGAATGTGAAGTCACCCCAACAAGGACAGGTGAGGGGAGCACGTGCCTGCACCAGCTGGGGCTTCAAGGGGCCGCCAGCCCCTCTGTTGCCGACTCACTGCAATGCATGCCCACCATGGTGTTGAGTCAGACTCGGGAGACCAAGATGTCACTGAAACCGAGCTTGGTTTGTTGAGCTGTGCTGATGTTGGCCAAAAGGTGACGGGCCCATCCTGGGACACATTCCATAAGCACCAGTGTCATGGCCAGAGAGCTGAGCAAAGAAGCCAGGCTGTTCTTAGGGACATTTTGAGCAGAAGAAACATGAGCCACTCACACTGAAGCTACATTAGCTTCAGTGAAATGTGCCGCTGTACACATGGGTACACACATATCATTAAGTAATTCATCATTTATTTATTCTGGCAGTGGGGATCTAATTGACAGCCTTTTGCTTAGCAGGCAAGTACTTGAACCAAGAGCTAAATCCTCAGGCCTGCACATATCACTGTGTTATATGTTTTTGTGGGGAGGATACCTAGAAGAAGAATAGTTGAATCTTATGGAATTTCTATTTTCAGGGGTTTTTGTTTTGTGTTTTGTTTTTTAGTTTGAGACAGGGTCTTGCTGTGCAGTTCAGGCTGGCCTTGAGCTTACTTTGTAGCCCAGGCTGGTCTCAAACTTGCAGTGATCCTCCTGCTTCAGCCTCCCGAGTGCTGGGATGACCCAAGAGCTGTTGACCCCCACTTTGAATCCTCACGAGTTGATGTTGTTAAAACTCCTATTTCACAGATTCCTAAACTCCCAGCAGTCACCTCACTCGCTCTCCCTAGCTAACAAGTGGCAAGGGGTGCAGACCTGCTTAGCCTTTTAGTTCCAAGTGGAGTCCTACTGAGACACTTTCCTTGTCAACCTCAGCACTGCTTCCCTTAAGAATTCTCCCTTCCTGCTCCTGGTTCCAGCAGATGCTCCGCTGTGCTTCCCCCACCCTCCCACTCTCCCACCTCCTTTTGCACACAGGCCAGTGTCCCCTTGAGGTCCTTCAGCGAGCTGACTTGTGTGCCGTGAATGGGACAGTCCCAGGGAAGTTACATGGGTCTCACATTGTGGGCTTGCTGACCACCTTGGAATCTGAGGACGGTCCCGACAGGACCAAGACTAACACATCCCAAAGCAAGATCCTCTCCTGAGTGGGGCTGGCAGTTGAGATCAGGAAAGTCTGAGGCTCCAGCCTCAGAACACTTGGGCTGGGCCCTGCCATCTGATCACATTGGGCACATCTCTGCACTTCAGTCGGTTTTGC